TATTATTGTATCTGTTTTACGTCAACATTCATAATCTGAAAACTGAAATTTTTGAGAAAAATAAACTTATAGCTGAACTGACATCTCAAGTAAAGGAACAATCACAGAATGAGAAACAGATCATTGGTTAGTGTATCATCATCAATCAATAATAATTATTAATATTCTATTAATTTATAGACCTTAGAGCTAAAGTGTCTGATAATGAATTGTATACAACCAAACTAATGAAGGAGAAGTCACAACTACAGGAGAGAGTCACATCCTTAGAGGAACAATCTATCAAAGAGACTAGTTCCATTGGACTACAATTTAATTACCTGATCCCTTCAATGGGTAAATTAATGATGTACATGTACATGTATACACATTTGAATGATTGTGTGTGTACTATACTGGTATTAGATATGATGTGTCTGTATTGTTTCAGATTCACTAGACTCTAGTGTCATTATAGCTGGACAGAAGCTCTTTATCCTACAAGGAGACAGGTCTGACTCACTCCAGTGGGAGAAATATGGATTCAGATTAGAGTGTCCTCAAGGAGCAGTGTCCAAGGATACTGAAGTAGCTGTTACTGCACTAGCTGGTGGTAATTTCAAGGTACCCAAAGGTACTGTGCTAGTGAGTGCAGTATATGCAATATCAGTATCTAAGGCACTATTAAAACCACTGGTAATAGAGCTACAACATTGTGTGGATCTAAGGAAGACTAGTCAGACTGGTTGCCTCAAGTTTGTGAGAGCTCCACTGAAGTCTCCTTACCAGTTCAGTATAGTTGAAGGAGGATCTTTTAGAGTTGGTGAAAGATACGGATCAATAAAGCGTGAGCAGTTCAGTTGTATGGGTATTGTAGCTGAGATGAGTAATGGAGACACACCTAGTGACAGTGACAGTGAGGAAGGTTATGAGACACCACCTGAAGGTACATGTATGATGGAAATAGTGTTTTATTATTAATAATGTACAATAATAGGATCAACTGATGACACACATAATGATAGTGGTAATAGAGCAGGAGAGACTAGTGAGAGAACTGCCTCACCAATAAATACTGGACTATCTGAAGGTATGTGTGACTGTAATTGTGTTGTATAAAGTTTAATCTTCATAATAGAATCAGTAACTGATGACTCTAATCAAAAAGTACAAGAAGCTGAGTCTACTTCTGGTATGTATGCATTGTATAATTTATTAAGTACATTCATAATGAGGTTT